AAGGCTGCAGAATACAAACCACTAGAGAGATGCAGTAGAATAAAATAAAGAAACCGCACAGCATCCCCATACCACTTCCAAAAGTATGGTGAGCACAATGCAATTCTGCACCTCGCACATGGGATATCATAGAAATGTTTGATCATTTTTGACTGCAATTCGTTTTATTATTAACTGATGAAGAATAGTTGGAATAAATGCAAAAATAAATGTTGGCAGAGCCCAAATTCTAGGTCAGGGGTCAGCAAACTTTTTCAGCAGGGGGCCGGTCCCCTGTCCCTCAGACCTTGTGGTGGACTGGAATATATTTTGAAAAAAAATAAATGAACGAATTCCTATGCCCCACAAATAACTCAGAGATGCATTTTAAATAAAAGCACACATTCTGCTCATGTAAAAATCCGCTGATTCCTGGACCGTCCGTGGGCTGGATTTAGAAGGCGATTGGGCCAGATCCAGCCCCCGGGCCTTAGTTTGCCTACCCATGTTCAAGGTCATTCCTCTCATTCACACAGGCATTTGTTTTGTTTGTTTTAATTCTGGGAAGGGACACAATGGGGAGTAGTAATATATCTGAAATATTTGGTATCAGTTGATGGATGCTTCCAGATGTCATAAGAAGGCTGCAGAGATAGTGCAGTATAATGTGCACCCTGGAAACGATCTCTTTCAGCTTCTGCCTTCTGGAGACTAGGACTAGCAGCCTGAGAAACAGTTTCTATCCAAATGCTATTTTGGTTTTAAACGCAGTGTATGGTAGTCCCCATGGGAGAATATTGTATTTAATTATGGGGTATCAGAGTTTTTAGGGGGTTACCCAGGCTGGGATAGCTGGGAGAACAGGCGTGTTGGTTTTTGAATGTAGTAGATTTTTTTCTATTTCGTTGTTCTGTATGGGACAATGACAATAAAGATTATGGTATCGTATGGATTGTGTCACTGGCCAGGGAAATCAATCTAATGTGTGCTCTGCTTTTATGAATCTCCAGTAATTTTGACCCTCTTCAGTCGCTTCTCAACTTGCGCTGCCCCAAAGGGTGAGTCATGGGTGTTGAGATTCTGCTTTAACCCTGTTTTTCTAATAGGTAAAGGTAAAGGGTAAAGGGACCCCTGACCATTAGGTCCAGTCGTGACCGACTCTGGGGTTGCGGCGCTCATCTCGCTTTATTGGCCGAGGGAGCCGGTGTACAGCTTCTGGGTCATGTGGCCAGCATGACTAAGCCGCTTCTGGTGAACCAGAGCAGGGCATGGAAACGCTGTTTACCTTCCCGTCGGAGTGGTACCTATTTATCTACTTGCACGTTGACATGCTTTTGAACTGCTAGGTTGGCAGGAGCAGGGATAGAGCAACGGGAGCTCCCCCCATCGCGGGGATTCGAACCGCCGACCTTCTGATCGGCAAGTCCTAGACTCTGTGGTTTTACCCACAGCGCCACCCGCGTCCCTAACGTTTTTCTAATATTTAGGTCTTAATTTAATTAAAAATGTAACGGCAAGAATGTCTTTGCTCTGTTTTCAAAAACCCATGTTTTCTTTTAATGAGGATCGCCTGATGGACTCAGCTGCAGTAACGTTGTGACATAGAGTGAGTCTGATAGCTAAAACATTTAAAGAAATGAATGAGATAATGTTACACAGTTTTTACCATGTAGCACTTTTGCCAGTCATACTTACATTAGAGGTGAAGCCAGCCACTAAAGAATTTATCAGGGTGACCTTTTTGGTGCAAGCCAAGGCTTTGTGTCTTGGAAAAACCTCACAGTGCCTATTTAGCTTTCGTGTCGCAGCTTTTGACCTTCATTTCTGATACCATATAATACTGGAAGTTATTAGCAGTTATCTCCTGATATGATTATTATTACATTAGACCAGATTGCCAGGCAATGCTCACTGATTGCATTTAATCAGAAAGCAAGATTATTCTCCCTGGGCAAGTGCGTTGCTTTTTGCAGCTTTGGAGGGATGGAGAGAGAGGGAGAGAAATAACGTAATCAATTGACTTGCTTTGACAATACCCTGGCCTTCATGCTTATTTTATTTATTTCATTAAATGCATTACAGCGCAGACACACAAGCTGTAAGAACAATAAAATAAATTCAACAAACTCTAAAAAAACCCAAACCAGCCACCTGTAAAAACAAAACACACAAAAAATCTACTGTATATTTGTGGTTTGTCTGTCTGTTCTCCATACATTTGGCTGCCTCTTGAGATAGGTAAAGGTAAAGGTAAAGGGACCCCTGACCATTAGGTCCAGTCGTGACCGACTCTGGAGTTGCGGTGCTCATCTCACTTTATTGGCCGAGAGAGCCGGCGTACAGCTTCCGGGTCATGTGGCCAGCATCACTAAGCCGCTTCTGGTGAACCAGAACAGCACACGGAAACGCTGTTTACCTTCCTGTCGGAGCAGTACCTATTTATCTGCTTGGACTTCGATGTGCTTTCGAACTGCTAGGTTGGCAGGAGCAGGGACCGAGCAACGGGAGCTCACCCTGTCACGGGGATTCGAACCACCGACCTTTTGATCAGCAAGTCCTAGGCTCTGTGGTTTAACCCACAGCGCCACCTGCGGCTTGAGATATCATTGCCCAATTTCGCATGAATGTTCTCAAGCTCGGGAGCCGTCTTTCCCATAGGACTTAGTGGTTCGTTGCACCAGGGCGCCGGCCTCTCAGGGGCGCCCTAGCAAGTGGGGAAGCTGTGCGGCTTTGCCGGTGGCCTCCCCTTTTCCTGCACACCTGCCAGCTGCGCTCTTCCAACCGTATGGCTAGCGGGCATGCAGCTTGCCTCCCAAGCTTCCGGGGGAAGAGAACGATCCCTGCAGAGGCTTAGGATGGAAGCTGCGCAATGCCAACTATATGACTGGTGGGCTTGCAGCTTCCTTCCCAAGCGTCCCTCCCTCCCTCACCCCACACCCCCAGGCTCCCCTCCCTGAATGTAGGATCCCCCTCCCTCAGCCACATACCCCCAGTCTTCCCTCCGTGAAAGTAGCATTTATTACCACAGTGGTACCTCGAGTTAAGAACTTAATTCGTTCTGGAGGTCCCTTCTTAACCTGAAACTGTTCTTAACCTGAGGTACCACTTTAGCTAATGGGGCCTCCCGCTGCCGCCACACCGCCGAAGCACAATTTCTATTCTCATCCTGAAGCAAAGTTCTTAACATGAGGTACTATTTCTGGGTTAGTGGAGTCTGTAACCTGAAGCGTCTGTAACCCGAGGTACCACTGTACTCGGGAGGAGGAGGCGGCAGCAGCAAGATAAACATTTGGGGGCACTGGGCGGATCTTTGCACTCCAGCAACATGTATGCTAAAGACGGCCCTGCTTGGGGTAACAGCCCTTGATGGTGTTTGAAATGTGACTTTGCCGTGACTTTCTCTGGTTTTCTTTTTTGCCATAGGTTCAGCCATGTCTTGAGATACCATCACAAAACTTGGCATGAGAGTTCCTAAGGTCAGGGAGGTGGACTATATTACCATTTGCATGCTGGGCACCACTTTGACTCAAGCGTGCAGACTGAAATGTGACTTTGCCGTGACTTCACCCAGTTTTTGACATGATGCGTCCAAAGACACAAACTGACTATCCATTTTAAAATTTCTCTCCCTCCCCCCTATATATATATAGGGGGGGAGGTTCCCTACAAATTCCCATGCAGCTCCATGTACTCATCACTGGTCAAATATATCACGACTTTGTTACAGCTCAAGGAAAGCCTTTTTAAACAAAAGTGCCTTCAGTGGGTGCCTAGAGATCACCACACTAGGTCCCTGTCTGATTTTGGCTGGTAATTGATTCCAGAGGGCTGGGGCTGCAAAACTAAAACCCCAGTTTCTAGTACAGACTAAAAGCACCTCTGGGGCATATGATACTCTCAGCAGTGCCCCATCCGAGGTACACAGTTTGCTAGAGATATAGTGGGGAATATATCATATGCAGACTTTATGTGAACTGGTGTCCTCTTTTGCCCTTTAATTTCTTTGTTTTCTTTAAATTTTCTTTGTTGGTGATGCAATTGGGCCACCCCAATGGCCTGGGCCTCTCTGGACCTCCTTTTTATTGCACATGCTTTCAATACCGTTTGTACCTGCAACTTTTTATACCACATAAGTTCTAGTTCATTTTTTTCTCATTCCTGTTGTGCTATAGCCCCTCTGTGCAACAATGATGTGGTAGCATTTGGGAATCATTGCAGAGCAGACTAAAGCAGAATAGATCCACCGCTAATTATGGCACTATTAATTATGCCAAGACCATGTTGCCAAATAAACCAGCGATGAAGCACCAGTCTGGAGGGGACTGGAGGGTCTTTTCAGCTTGTTTTTTTGTAAATGAATAAAATAAATCCATCTTAGCATCTTAAATCTACCCATTCTATGACTTGTCCTACCACCACAATGTTAGCTTCCATTTCTGTAGTAGGGGATATGGGGCACGGGTGTCGCTGTGGTATAAACTGCTGAGCCCCTTGGGGTTGCCGACCAGAAGGTTGGCAGTTTGAATCCCCGTGACGGGGTGAGCTCCTGTCGCTCTGTCCCAGCTCCTGCCAACCTAGCAGTACGAAAGCACACCATTGCAAGTAGATAAATAGGTACCACTGTGGCGGGAAGGTAAACGGTGTTTCTGTGCGCTCTGGTTTCCGTCACGGTATCCCGTTGCACTAGAAGCAGTTTAGTCATTCTGGCCACATGACCTGGAAAGTTGGACAAACACCGGCTCCCTCGGCCTGAAAAGCGAGATGAGTGTCGCAACCCCATAGTCGCCTTGGACTGGACTTAACTGTCCAGGGGTCCTTTACCTTTAGTAGGGGATGCACAAGACATAATCCTGAGGAATTACAAATTACAAACTTCTGGATAAGCCCTGAAGACGGACTAAAAACAGATAGGAAGCAGATGGAGGTATAACAAAGCTAATAATGGTGGTATTAAAGAAGATAACCGTTATTCATGTGGAATTCAAATACTCCATGAGTATATGGGGCTGCTGCTCTGGAGCCGTCCTGTGGCTCAATGGGTCAGTGCGCCTGGCTGTTAACCTGAAGGTTGGTGGTTCAAGCACACCAGGGATTGCTTGGAGCAGAATTCCTGCACTGTGAGAGGTTGGACTAGATGTTCCTCAGGTCCCTTCCAACTCTATAATTCTATGATTTTATTAGAATTTGGATTTGATATCCCACTTTATCACTACCCGAAGGAGACTCAAAGCGGCTCACATTCTCCTTTCCCTTCCTTCCCCACAACAAACACTCTGTGAGGTGAGTGAGGCTAAGAGACTTCAGAGAAGTGTGACTAGCCCAAGGTCACCCAGCAGTTGCATGTAGAGGAGCGGAGACGCGAACCCGGTTCACCAAATTACGAATCTACTGCTCTTAACCACTACACCACGCTGGCTCTCCCCACCCTGGATTGACTACCACTGAATATGCTCTTACTGATTTTTCTACTCTCTGTATTGCACAGTTTCTCAGCTGAAAGGCTTCCTGATTAGTATTTATTCTTTTGCCAAGGTTCCCCTCCTCCCATGGCTCTCTAGTCCATGCTTCTTTTCAGCGCTAATGTTCAGGATGTTTCTGGAGATTGCCTGCATGAGCCCTGCTTGAAAATTATAGCACTTTACGCAATGACGTTCAAAGCTGAAATCTTTTCAGCGCGTAAGGAATAAATGATCAAGCTACAGGGTGTTAAGAAAGATTAATGACATGGGGGGGGGGAGGCATTGATGCCCTGAAGTGTGTCCAAGGGATCGTTCACCCCAGCTGCTTCTTAAACCCCGGGATATGCTCAATTTCAAGGTCATTATTGCTATTATGAGACAATCAACAAACATTTATAAAACATTGCCCTGGAGATTATTTTCTTTCTCTCTCCATTTCATGTGTCACGATTATTGCGCTGGTGCTAGTGATTTGCAAAGAGCCCGCTACTTTTAAGAGCTCTAATATCCTTTTAATTCTGTGTCCAATTGTATGAGTCATTTTAATTATTTCGTACTTAATACCAGAATTTATTCTCCCTAGGATTAACAAACCTGTTGTAAAATGTATCTGCGGAAAGCAATCTAGCACGCAAAAGTACCAGCATGCTGGCGTGATGCTTGTCGTTAAAAATAGGAAGAGACAGACTAGACTTTAAATCACACAGAGAAGCCCAACATACTGTGAAAAATTGTGAATTGCTTCTCAGGGCACAGCATTCCCTAGGCAAGAAGGAGAAAAGGAATATAGATTGTAGTAGTTAGTACAACTGCTGAGGTGGGGGGCAGATCAGCACTATTGTGTTCTCATCCCTCAGACCATATGGGAAAATAACTTTTTCAGATATAATTTAACAGTTTTAATAATTGCACACAATGTCAACGGGGAAATAAGTAGAAAATGCAAGCGAGGCAAATGTTACTTACAACATCTTTTATATTTCCAAGACAGTGATTTAGACTGAGGTGCTAAGGGTGATCTTTGGGGGTGGGGTGGGGGAAGTGCCTACTGATGCACTGGGGAACAATATTTTTTTCATTTTCTGTTGCATGAGATTTTTCAGCTGTTCTTATATGTTCTTTCAGTGCTGATTTCAAATCTGAAAACAATTTTCGTGTACATGCTATAGTTATGTTGCAATTTCTGACTTTTGCCAATATGTCATATTTACACTGGGGATAAGTGGACACTGACATGTTGATCTACCCTAACCACATGGTAATTATTGTTTTGCAAACTTAATTTTTCTTTATTTTTATAGTTTTGTAACCTAAATATTTGTATTTTTCAGATTGGACCATGGCTTCTTCAAGTAGACAAAAATGCATAAACAAGCCTTTGTTGCCCAGTATACTGTGTATCCCAAGGGAATACATTTTTTTTGCACACCTCCAACTGTACATAGATATACATGTCATTTTCAATGCTATACATGTCATGTTCAATGCTATATAAGTCACTTACATTGTACTACTCATATTGTACTACTTTGGCTGTGTGTTTAATAAAACATTGAATTATTGCATTGTGAAAAACAAAGATTATGGTGAAAAGTGAAAAATATGAATTGCAAAAAAACTAGAGCTTACAGAACAAAACCAACTTCAGATATGAAATCAGCATGTCAAAATTATGTTAGAACAATTGCAGGTGTCAATGCAACAAAAATTTTGTCCCCCAGTGTAATGACTACTCCCCACATTAAACGGGGGTGACCTTTATGTGGTTGCGCACAGCCCCTGGACCCTGTGTGGCTCCATTAGCACAGGCTTGGCTTCGCCTTCCCCAGGTGGGATACCTGGAGGTCTCCGCCTACCTCAGCCAGTTGCCCAATCCCAGCTGGGGAGGCGTTACCAAGGTGATCAGGCCAGGTACGGGGAGGGACTACCTGCCCACACAATAGAGGGAGGATCTTACCTGGGAATCTTCAGTTGGCTCCAGAGCTTCTCCCACCCTACCCACCCTCAGTTTTCTTCATAGGTACGCGGGCGCTGCTACGTCAAGGTCGCTGTTGAAGGGCGGGAAAGGAATTCCCTTGCATTGGCAGGTTTTCCTTTGCCATAGCAAAACGTCACAACTTTGGCGGTATCAGGCCTTGGGTGGAATCCTTTAGTCCATCTTCCTGAATGGGAGGGAGGCATGCAACGGTGAACCACGCCCCCTTCCTCTTTGTGGCGGCGATACCAGGGTTCCCTGTTAAAGGGGTTTTTGAGGGGAGGCTTTAACCGTATGCTGAGAGGTTGTCATTGCTCTCCCCTGCAACGGCGGCGTAACGGGGGCGGCTATCTCTGATTGAACCTATGTTCCCCAGAGCTGGCCCATCCCTCCCCCACTGGATAACCCTGATGTTCCCTAGATCCCCGGCTGGGGACTGGGAGGGATAAACGCCCAATGCCTGAGCCAAGGTCTACCCACATCTGAAATATAATAAAGTTGTGGCCAATTTAATCCCATAGCACGTTGTCTTGAGGTTATTCCACATGAGGGGGGTCCACCCAGGGTTTGGGGGGACTCAAACAAGCAATGGTTCTTTAAAGAAAAAAAAGGGGGAAAGGATCAACCTAAAACTTTGCTCCCGATAGAGAAATGGCTTGAGGAATTAGCTCTGAAGGAACTCAGATTTGATGTTCTCGAACTCACTTTCCTCAGGAATCATTAGCTGACAGGAAACGAAACTATCTTATTAACAGATTCCATACTTGCATCGATAATTTTATTGTCTCATTCTCTTTGTAAACCGCTTTGAGGTTTGTTTGGTTTTTTTTTTGTAACCATCAAAGAGGTGGAAATTTTACAAAGTAAAACAAATAATTAAATAAACCTTACGCACTGAAATAGAGTACTATTTGTCAGGGTTAATGTCAATTGCCCGCTGATGTCAGCTGCCATTAAAAAGAAAAAGCCTGGAGGTTATTTCCCAGAAAAAAAGGGGCAATGATTCTCTATTCTTTCATGGTCTTTCTTCCTTTTCTTTTCCTCCCCAGCAATAAGTCTCACTGGGGAACTCTTCCTGCTCAAGATTAAAGGCTTAGCTGCTTTTTCTCCACTTGATTCGAAACTGCAAAGATTTGAACTTCCACAAATATCTGATCTTGCTCTGAAAACGTGACGATACATATGTGGATAGGCAAGTGATTTTTTTTTTCTAATGGAACTGCCCTGCCACTTAATATATAATCTGATAGTCTCCTTCGAAGAAACACCTTTTTCACCTGTCGCCCTAGGAGTTTCAGTAGCAAGGTTACAGCAGTTCCATCACTTACTCTGAAATTTCTTGGTGCCATTAACAAATTTTCTTTTTCTTTTTTATAATAATTTTTATTCAATTTTAACATACAAATTATAGTACATACCACAAAACTTCATCTTTTATACAATCTTTTTTGGACTGGGAGTCATTTTGGACTCACAGCTGTCCATGGAGGCACAGGTCAAATCTGTGTCCCGGGCAGCTGTTTACCAGCTCCATCTGGTACGCAGGCTGAGACCCTATCTGCCTGCGGACTGCCTCGCCAGAGTGGTGCATGCTCTGGTTATCTCCCGCTTGGATTACTGCAATGCGCTCTACGTGGGGGCTACCTTTGAAGGTGACCCGGAAACTACAACTAATCCAGAATGCGGCAGCTAGACTGGTGGCTGGGAGCGGCCGCAGAGACCACATAACACTGGTCTTGAAAGACCTACATTGGCTCCCAGTACGTTTCCGAGCACAATTCAAAGTGTTGGTGTTGACCTTTAAAGCCCTAAACGGCCTTGGTCCAGTATATCTGAAGGAGCGTCTCCACCCCCATCGTTCTACCCGGACACTGAGGTCCAGCACCGAGGGCCTTCAGGCGGTTCCCTCACTGCGAGAAGCCAAGTTACAGGGAACCAGGCAGAGGGCCTTCTCGGTAGTGGCGCCTTCCCTGTGGAACACCCTCCCACCAGATGTCAAAGAGAACAACAACTACCAGGCTTTTAGAAGACATCTGAAGGCAGCCCTGTTTCGGGAAGCTTTTAATGTTTGATGTATTATAGTATTTTAATATTCTTTTGGAAGCCGCCCAGAGTGGCCGGGGAAGCCCAGCCAGATGGGCGGGGTATAAATAATAAATTATTATTATTATTATTATTACTTCTATCAGCTCCTCTGATGATCCACCGTTTTAACCACTTCTTATGCATTTGTTAAAATCAGATTACCTTTAAATGTCTTCACTAACCATCCTCCCCCTTATCGATTTTTGGAATAATTCTAATAATACTCCACACAAAACTTCTTGCAATCCTACAAACGTAGTCTGATCATCACAAATACTTTTCAAATAGTCTTTAAATTGACTCCAGTCTTCCGTGTCCCGCCGTGTCCCGAATTTCTGGTCCCGCTGGTTTCAAATCCTTCCTGTTAATTTATCCAGTTCTGCACAGTCCATTAATTTCATCCTCCATTCTTCTTTTTGCTTCCATTTTTCTTCTTGCTTCCATTTTTGGGCCAATAACGTTCTTGCTGCTGGTGTTGCGCATAAAAACAGCTTACATTCCTTTCTATTTATATCACTTCCTACAATGCCCAGTAAAAATGCTTCTGGTTTCTTTATAAATGTATATTTCAACATT